GTTATGGGTAACACCAAGAACTTAAAAAACAGGCTGAGCAAAGGCTCCCTGACTTATTGCATGGCAGGTATAAACACCAATATCTCACTCAGGTTATGCTGTGAAGAAGGCACCTGCAGGCTAATTAACCACACGCTAAGCATCAAGCTACTGTCAGTTTGTTAAACGATATGGAGTCATGCTATTCTGCACATCAAGCACTTAAATGAACGTCTAATATTTGCTTGGGTCAGGGTATGAAAATGAGAGAAAAGATTTGATGGTAAACAACATGGTATCAGTTATAACCAATCTATTATACCACATTTTGCTTTTTCACTTAAAGTCATCACACTTTACTCTTTCTTTTCTCTTCAAAATGTTTGGATTATACTCTTACATTGTGACGTTTTCTTATTCTGTTCCATGCTTTGTCTAAGTTTTGCCCGCAGCCCCCCTGCTGCACTAAAGCAAGATGTGGTACACATGGAAATATGTAGGCTCTTTTATCATAGAATAGAAGAAGAAGTGGAAACTAATTTAAGATGGTAGAGAGAGTAATGGAGAAGGAGAGGGAGTAAGGGAGGAAAAAACTGGGTACAAAAAAGACAGGAAAAGGAACTAGGAACTGATTTGGCTTCTTTTTTCTAGGTGTCAAATTACTCCTACTTCTGGATTGTGTTTTATTTGCCTAAACCATATAGATAAAGGATTTATTAGCTTTACATCCACAGCATGCTGTGAGGATATAAGGCCTTCTCTAAGGCCATTAGTCTTATAAAGTCAGAATTCTGCCAAAAGTCCACACATATAATAAACACTGATACAAGCAGTTTTATCTAAAAGATAGACGTGTGAATTGTTCTCTCCCACGAGAAAAAAATTGGTCGAAAAGACGACATGATTTACATCCAAACATCTACATTTAGCTGAGAAGTTAAAAGTGAAAAGCCTTAGTTTTTAGAAAGTTTAAAAGACGTTGAAACCTTGGTATGCCATGTCTTTTAAACGACCATTATCGGACTAAAGTTGGACAAAATCAGACCGACCAAACAGAGCCCAATATAAAAACTATTTCTGGGCTTAATTAAGACTATGATGGACCGACTATATATAGCCTAAAAACCAATATCTTAATAAAATCTGATGTTTGGGGGGGCTAATTTTGAACATTCTATGCATAAAGATTCAATACCATGAGGTTGCCAGTACGTCCCTACAATGGGTTCATGCTCTTTCTCCGTGCTCGCTGCTTTTTTATCCACCTGTAGACTCTCTCTGACTCGCGTATGGATCTGTTTCTGTGTGCTGATGTCAACTTTTGTAACTTTGAAGGTAGACCCAGACTGAGAAAGTAAACCGACTGTGATTTGGTACATTTGAGGAATCAAACCTCTACTGTTTTTTTCCTAGTTGTGGCTAGTAACGTTAGCAAAGCACCTTCAGGCTAATAGCTAATGTCTTTATGAGTTGAATTCTGAATCGCTGGTGAAGATTCTCAGTCAACCAGGTCATAGTAACTCCAAAAGATTTTTAACAACAATCCACTGGACTTTTTTTTCAAGTTTGAAGCCGTTTCGCTTCCCATCCAGGAAGCTTTTTCGATTGAAAATGTCAGAATTAGTGTTGAGTTCGAGGCTTTATAGAGCGGACCGTTTGTTGCCTTGTTTTGTCTTAGAAAACATGCAAATTGAACTGGAACAACAGGTCCGCCCCTTAGGAATGGGGAGCCGTTTGGGTTCTTTGTTAGCCTGCAATATCCAATACTGGTCTATGCCTCTGAAAGGGGGTCATTGGGGCAATTGTTGGCCTGGCTTAACAGGCGAGATGTTTTAGTCCACAGTATGGTGGTGGGGGTTGCGATGATAGTGGGAAGGAATCAACTCTATCGTTACGTTGTAGGTTTTTGAAAGCTGAAACCTGAGTCTGACCCTCTCTGTTTACGGTTGTTTTTTTCTTTCTTAGCATAAATGGCTTCTTTCACACCCCTTTCAAACCACTTGTCTTCTTTGTCCAAATTCTGAATTCATCTCTAACTAGAATCAAAATAAAAAATGATCAACAGTAGCTGTAAACTTATTATAAATGTAAATGTCTGTGTTTAATTATAAATCAGAGTTCAATTAAGCATTTCTTTCCTAAATATAAACATTGAAGGTAACATTAGCTTAGCTTTTACGAAGTTTCAAATTTAACATTAATCATTTAAAGCATATTGCTACTGTTGTCAGAACACATTATTGACGGTGTCAAAAAACAATAATTTAATGGTGACTTCCCTTGAACTCTTAAAGAGAATAATAGTTAGCCTAAATGCGCTTTGCTAACATTAATAGCTGCAACCAGAAAGAAAGCAGCACTGTCTTAAAGTAGAGATTTTTCTTTACTTTTTTAGGGTTTTCTATCTTCAAAGTGACAAAAGTGGACATGAGCACAGACACAGGTCAGCTTGCGAGTAGAAGAGAATTTCCAGGTGGATAAAAAGCAAGTTAGCGCAGTGAAGGAGCATGGACTCATGGCCGGGACATATTGGGGCCTCATGGTATTGAATCTGATTTCATAAGTATGTAGCGTTTTAATCAGCTTTTTATTCCGTGCTGGGACACGATCTCCCCTCCGCTCTGGAGCAGCAGGACGCTGCCTGTCAGTCTCTGTGAGAAATCACTGTTGAGGTTTGAGCCTCAGTCCATGGAGGTAATCAGTGAGAAAGTAGAACCCTAGTTGGATAAGACGCCAAAATACATCACTTCCTGTGAGGCTAAACCTCTTAGAGCGGAGGTCTTCAACAGGGGGCCCGCAACCCCTAGGGGGTCCACAGAGGTACTGCATGGGGGTCGCTAAAGTTTTGGTTGATTAGTATTTTTTATATTCCCCTCTGGAATTTTTTCCACTAACTGAAACGTCTTTAAATCCACATTAACATGATTTCAACACCCGGGATTAAGCAAATAAATGGAGGCAGAAGATGTCTTTCAGTCATCAATGCACACATTCAGCGACACACAGGAGCTCTTTCAAGCTGGGCACCGTTTCATTCACAACACCTGTCCCATCAACCAGGAATCGGAAATGTATTAATCCCATGGAGAAATTACTTTCATTACTATAGTGTGACTATAGGACCAGTTTGATAGAACACAATTTCATACAATATATATATATATATATATATAGTTAGCCATCAGTTTGGGGGTCCTTGGCCTGGAAAACGTTAAATTAGAGGGTCTATGGATTTGGGGCGGGTCATGAAGCTTGCTGCTCGATGCTGATTGGCCAACAAAATTAAGTATTTTTGACTGACAGTGAGGAAGTTTTCCTCAGGAGTCAAGAGGGAAAAGTGAACATTCAGTCAGAACAATCCTCTGGTGCTGAACTCTTGACGTGGTTTCTGGACTGTATTATTTCAGAGCAGCTATTTTCACTATTTATTATCACTATTTTTGTAGTAATAGGTTTTATATGTTTCAACATTTGTTAATGCAATATGTGACATTTGAGTAAAATGAACATCATTGAGTCTCCATTGTTTTACAGAGCAGCACTGCTTTGAAATATGCAAAAAAAACTGTGTTTTTTAAATTGGGGTTCCATTTTTCTTTTAATATAAATGAGATGTCTACTTTGGTACATTGATGTCAGACTAAAAACATTTTGGGATCCGATAAAATTAATCATATCTCCTCCTTTTGGTGTAAAACCTTTCAGCCAAAAGGGGAACTACTCTTTTCTTGCTTTGTCTATATTTTATTTCCTGTACTTCTATTTCTTTTACCAACCAGAGTCGTTTTTTTTGTTCTTCCCGCATGTTAGGAGATGATTCTCAAACGAGCGGCGGACATCGCAGAGGCCCTCTATACGACGGTGCCACGGGGGCACAACCAACTCGCCGGCCTGGGCAGCAGCTCCGTCCATGCAGGCATGATGGCCGTAAACTCCTTCACTGGGTCGGAGGTGGCGCAGACGGCCAATCAAGGTGAGCGAGCGTGACAAGAAATGGTTAAAGGTCCGACGAGGAGGGAAAAGTGACAGCAGTGGAATTTATTTTCCTCTTTTTGAGACGGATAGTAAAAATGAGTAGTGCAATGGAAATTTTATTTTTCACGTGGGAAATATAGAAGGGGAAGTGATTTAGGAGCACGGAGCATTGAAGAAAACCTTTAAAATTCAGGACAGGAAGGAGAGAGAGGGGACGGCCGTGACAATAGGAGGAGGGGGGGGTCTGAAAGGAGGAAAGAGTGGCTGCGAAAGAGTGAAGAATGGAGAAAAAGAGAGTCATGGATGGAGTACGATGGAGAAAAATGAGTGGGTCCTAAGGGTGTGTATATCAGACAGGGGTCGGCCCTCGTCTGACAGAGAGAGATGTGGGTGCAGTCAGTGGTGATTCATCACATGTATCAGGGGAACAAGAGGAGAGCGGATGGACCTGCCTCTGGAATGTGTCTCAATATTTCCAATGAGCTTCCTCTGCCCTTCATCTTCATCTAAAAACATCTGCAGGTATGAGCAAAACAACAGAGTTCAGCTGCTTATCTCATCGGCTGGAGCTTCTTTCATAGGAGGTGAGGATGGGGAGAATGGATGCTAATTATGGAAGAGCAGCTCTGAGACAAAAAAGGCAGCAGTTACATATATATATATATATATATATTTTAAAAAAAAGTTCACTTCCAGCTGTTTTTCCTCCAGCGTCAGCATCTTGAACCTGAGAAGTCTATTCATCGTCTTTCTGACCATATTGTCCACCTTGCACTCTCTTCTCCAGCGATGAGGCCCTCCATCGCATCAGAAATAAAGACTTCATTCTTTATAAATTACAATAAGGCTGCAGAAGCACTTCAGTGTTAATTGCCTTATCTTTGCATCTAAAACTGGAGAAGAGCCAGCGGGGTTAAAGGCCTCTTGTTTCAGTTGTTGGATCTTAATATTCTTCTTCTACTCTGTTCATCGCTTCCTCACTTTGCCATATGTTGTGTAAGAGATTTCTCTCCTAAAAAATCTTGTTGGCTCCTAACGATGCATCTATCAGACTTGTAAGGAGTAGAGTACTTGGCAGGCGTGCATGAAGTCTTTTTCTACTTTTCGTCCATCTGCTTTACCATCTAACACAAATCTTTCTGTCTTTCCTTTTCTCTCCCCTGTCGTAGGTTTCAGTAGAAGTACAAGCAGCGTGTCCCCTCATGGTTATGTCCCCAGCTCAACTCCTCAGCAGAGTAGCTACAGCTCTGTGTCCACTAGCATGAATGGCTACGCTAACTCTGGCATGGCAACCCTGGGCACCTCACCCAACTTCCTCAATGGATCTGCAGGCAACTCGCCCTATGCTAGTGAGTAACTGCACCGTATATTTACGCCTAGAAAGGTGGAGGAAGATTGAAGTAGGAAATCTTAATGGACAGAACAGGATTATGATCATTATGATCCCTGGTTCATTCTCTGGCAAAAACAAAAATAGGAATAAAAAGGACCAATTCTAAATCAATATGATTACACAGTCAGGTAGTTGTCTATGGAGGGATTTTTTTTTTTTTTTATACAAACAAAAAATTGTTTTGTAAATGGAAATTCAAAAAAACAAAAAGAAAAAAAGGAATTCAGAAATGAAACTTTTAAAGACTTTTTAATCAAAAGGTTTTAGAGTAATTTTGCTGTTTTCTCTAGATAAAATTTTTTAAAATAACCTTTTTCATTTATATATACTTTAGTATTTATATTCAAAATACTTTTCTGTTTTTATTCATTTAAATATATACATTATTTTCTTCATATTTTATTTTATATTTATCAACAAATGCAGAGTGCACTTCACTATATCTATTGAAGAAAAGTGGAAACGTACATATATAAGCCGCATTAATCTGTCTCCCACCAAACCTGTAGGGGGAGCTCTACACTTAGCCCCCTGGTGTAGGGACAAAGAAGAATGCTAGCTCCCCTTAGCCTTGTCGCTACCCGATCCATCCCGGAAGCTCATTTGCGCAACCAAATAAATATCCGGGTTGCATTTTATTTTATTTAGTAAAAAAGAAGTAAATTAAGTTTTTCCAAATTAAAAATAATAAGCATACTAAACTATAATGTATTAAAGGTTAATAATGTAAATTAAAATCCTCTCTGTTCTATCACTCGTCTGTTCCCAATCTCCACCGGAATACGCTACTTCTGACAGCTAACTTTTTCAGATTTGGATTCAAACATAAATCTAACCTTTTTGAGTTTTATATTTTCCTTTCTTGTTAACATTATGGTATATAGTTCGTAATCTAAAGAAAGAAACAACTAAAATGCAGATAGAGATCGTTTAATCATATTTTGCCGGACTGCTCTGAGCATGTCGGACGATGACGTCAGAGAAGCAGTTTAACGGAGAAAATATAAAAAGCAGCAAAATTGTCATTTTTACATTTTTAAACATGTGTATTAGCATTCTTTAGTGTTAAGGATAGAAATAAGTAATTTTAGTACCATAATTATATTATTTATGGACACCCGGATGCATACCTGTTTCGCGCATGCGCAAGACGGATTGTGCTTCTGGGACGGATCGGGTAATGAAAGTCATTAGCCGATCTGTCCCAGAAGCACAATCCGTGCCATCAGCTTATTTGCGCAACCAGATATACATCTGGGTTGCCTTCAATTTTATTTTGTAAAAAAGAAATAAATTACGTTTTTTCCTCATTAAAATAATAAATACACTAACTTTAATGTGTTTAGGGTTAATAATGTATTTCCTGACAAAATAAATGCCTTTCTGTTTTATCACTCTATTTCCGATCTGTTCCGAAAATTGCATCCTACGCTAGTTCATGTGGCTAACTTTTTCAGCTTTGGATTTAATCATAAATTTTGAGTTTTTTGAGTTTTATGTTTTCCCTTCTTGTTAAAATTATGGTATATAGTGCATAATCTAAAGAAAGAAACAACTAAAATGCAGATAAAGATCATTTAATCATATTTTGCCAGACTGCTCTGAGCATGTCGGACGATGACGTTAGAGAAGCAGTTTAACGGAGAAAATATAAAAAGCATCAAAATTGTCTCAGAAAAGTCATAAAACATTTTTAAAAGATCTGCATTCTTTAGTGAGTTAAGGATAAAAATAAGTAATTTTAGTACCATAATACCACAAACCTTTATTTATGGACCCCGGATGTATATCTGGTTGCCCAATGAGCTGATGGAACGGATCGTGCTTCCTGGACGGATCGGGTAGTGAGAAGCTTGTTGGCTAACAGCAATGAGAGCTTTTAATGAAATATTTGGGCTTCATCAGCTCTTTATTTCAGCTCTGCAGGAGTTGAGCTCAGTCTCTTCATTGGTTCGGCAGCTTTAATGCGTCAAATAAATGGCAAAATGCGTGAATTCGGGACATTTGCTAGCCTGTTGCTAGCAAATGAAAATGAAAATTAGTCCCTTATTCTTTCATTTCCAACTTTGACTTCCCCCTCTGGCCCATTCCTAAGGGCCGTTAAGATTTGCATGTTTTCTAAGCCAAAACAAGGCTTTGTTGGGCTTTTCTATAAAGCCTCAAACTCAACGCTATTTCTGACATTTTGAACTGAAAAAGCTTCCTGGATGGGAAGTTTTTTCAACTTTTTTGGGACCCCTCTGGCAGTATGAAAAGAACACATTTCTCTTTCATGAAATGTATTCTTTTGGATTGCTTTTTGAGATCACA